CTCAAAAACACAAATTTGTGTTGCTTTTATTTTTACAGGTGGTTATTTCAGAAACAGTAAAGAATACTGGTGATTAAAGAGTGAAGTTTTAAATAACAAGTACAGCTCATGTTACCTGAGCACAATCTTTAAGCACCAGACAAAAGGGCAGAACTGAAGACAAAGTTCCTTTCCTGCCAGGTTCCACAGCCCTTTAGCCCCAAATACACACACACACACACACACACACACACACACACACACAGTTTGGTTGTTTGGTCAGCTGGGCATTGGTGGCACAAGCCTTTAGTCCCAGCACTTGGGAGGCAGAGGCAGGTGAATCTCTGTGAGTTCAAGGCCAGCCTGGTCTACAAAGCTACACAGAGAAACCCTGTCTCAAAAAATCAAAACCAAAAAACAAACAAATAAACTGTTTGTTCAATGGCTCAGACTTCTTATTTGGCTATCTCTCCTAATTATTAACCCCTTTCTATTAATCAACTTATTTTCACATGGTCTTCGCTTACCAGAGAATGCCCGGTATCATGTTTTCCTGGTAGCTACATGGTTTCTCTCTCTAGTGACTCCTCTCCTCATCTTTTTCCCCAAAATTATCTTAATCTGGTAGCCCTGCCCATACTTCCTGCCTGGCTGCTGGCCAATTAGCATTTATTCAGCAACCAGTAAGATAAACATGGATACAGAGCATACAGGAGGACATCCCCTATCAGAGAACCAGGATCTGCTTTGTCATGTATAGTGTCTATTGCCATGATATGCGTTAGAGCTTCCAGGGCTAAGACGAGAGTCCTTGGCCTACACTTAACTTTCCATTCCTTGATGCAGAGCCTGGCTTTTCAAAGCAGTATCGCCTCTCTGTACCAGCACAGATTGGCAGTGGGTGGGGAGCACATTATTCCACACAGCAGCTGCTGCAGAGTGAGGATATTTGAAAAGAACAGTGGTGTATCCTAATTACCTGTGGCAAGAAAAACATCTGTGTGAGAGAGGTAATGAAATTAATTCTAACATCTAGCAGTTGCATACATTAATTGACATTAATTAATGCCAAATTACAGGAGGCTTCCTATGGAATCGTATCACACATTCACCAGAACAGAATATGGAAGGAGTTCATCATATTTAATGCTATTACAGAAAACCTCAAGGGGAATAAGAGTGATTGGTCCCTCATTATGAACCACAGCCAATTTCTTTCTGTTTCCATTAGAAGGAGAAAGGGAGCAAACTGAAAACTTCACGAGGCCAGCAGCTCAAAACTGATCACTTCCCTTCAGCTTGTAAATTTCACTTTTAGCCATCCTGAGTAGAAATAAAGAACTAATTTTGAGGCTTTACTCTTGTTACTAAATTAAATACATTGTAATTCTCAGCTCAAAGATAGGCTTCCTGTACAGAAAAACCAGAGTAAACAGAATCAGAAAGTGGAAGGAACCAGAATGCTCAGAGGTGTCTGTCGAAATGGCTTGTCTCTCAAGCCCTCTGTGACTCCCCACTCACCCTGGTGAAAAGTGCTGGATCAGCAATTTGACTCCCCAGTGTCTGATTCTTTCACTGACTGCCTTGCTATGACTGTTGACATCTCATGTATGTTTTATTCACTTTCCTGCTCAGGCACAGAGAAATTGATATCTATATATACAACTTGCCAAAAAGTGGGTCCATTCCTTAATATGTGCTATCCTATTTTTAAAGATTTTTACTTGGGAATAACTTTAGGAAGAGTGAAGTTAGCAAGATGATTCAGAATTGGACTCTCTACATAGTCTCTTCTAGTTTGAGCATTTTATAACCAAAGGATGGTTTTCAAATCCAAAAAATTACCAAATATTATATGTTGGCAACTTGTTTTTATCATATATAGTTTAAGTATTCCTCATGGAAGCAAGAATTTAATGTTGAATATTTCACAATCTACTTATTCTCTTTCTGTTTCAACTATTTATTAAGATATCATTAAACATTCCTGGGGCTGCAGAAAATGGCTCAGCTGTTAAGAGCACTTGCTGCTATTGCAAAGAACCAGCATTTGGTTCCTAGACTCAGGTACAGGAGGCTCACTGCCACATGCAACTCTAACTCCAGGGATCCAACTTTCTCTTTTGACCTCCTTGGTCATTCTCACTTGAACACACACACACACACACACACACACACACACACACACACCATACATACACTCACACACTCATATGCAAGCATGCACAGAGACACACACACACAAACACTTTTAAAACTCTTTAAGCCTTAAAAATCAATGGTAGGAGGTCCTTGTACCAATGGCACACGTGGATGCCAGAGGGCAATTCTGTGGATTCAGTTATCTCCTTCTGCCTTTGTGTGCTTCCAGGCATCTTAATCGGGTTTCTAGATTTGCAGGTGGCTCCCTTTATCTGTGGAGCCACCTTGGTAGCCCTTATTAAACACTCTGAAATACATACTTGAGTGACCAAGTCTTCCTATATGTCCTGATTTCCTTAAATGAAATCCTTAGAAATGAGCCTGAATTCCAAGGACATTATTTTATGCCTTTTTCGACACATGCAAAGTACTGTAGAAGAGCATGAATTTATGAGTGCATTCATTTTGTGTTTGCATGTACTCTATGATACTTAAGGAGAAGAAGCCAAAGTCTAGTTCATAAAAGTCAACCCCACACTTATGGAGATTTTCTTGTAACATAGTGAAATAAAAGTGAAGCAAAGTTGGAGTCAAGCAAACCAAATCAATGTTCCCGCATGTGCTGCAGTTCTATAAACCACGACTTTTTCTCTCTGACTCAAAGTCAGATCGTCATCTGAGTGTTGTGAGCATTAACTTTACTACATATTTCTTAACATCCATTAGAATGTCTGGCTTACAGGCCAATGGTTTTCAACCTGGGGGGGTTGAATGATCTTTCACAGGGGTCTCCTAAGACTCTTGGAAAAACATATATATTTACATTATAATTCATAGCAGTAGCGAAATTACAGTTATGAAGTAGCAAATAGAATAATTTTATGGTTGGGCAGCACAACATGAGGAACTGTATTAAAGGATCAAAGCTTTAGGAAGGCTGAGAACCACTGCTCTAGGCCTTTACAAATGCTCCTTTGTTTTCTTCTCCAGTCTCTCAGATTTATAGTTTATACAAAAATGACCTATAGATACTGTGTATATTTTCATATTTTCTATGTGATGTTTGCTCAGCATTTTGGAGGAGGAGATAGTGATCTTAAAGAATATGACTAGCCACTATTATAAACAAAACAGTACAGCTTACACACCCAGGAGTCCTCAGTAAGTGTCAGCTCTGGCATCACAGTGGAAGTTATGTTTCTCTTTAGAAGTCCAGGAAACTCTAATCTTTACATTCAATTCAATTCCCTTTAGCCAGGATTCTTTATTCATTGCCTCACATAGCGGCAATAAGACAATGGTGGACTCAGCACACTCAATAGCTTGATGATGTCTTCAGGGACCAGGTTCTTTCAGTCTGGTCACAATCATTAAGTAAGTTTGACTCTACCCATGGCTCCTTTAGATAAGAAGACAACTAGAATTGTCTGTGTGCATCAAATTGAGACCATTTAGTGCAGAGGTAGAGAAGCCCCTTTCTGTATCTCTGGTACTGCCCTTCAGCTCTCATTTAGGAGTACAAGATTTAAATGTCCTGTTCTAAACTAACAATGTGAAGGGGATTAGGAAGACCCTGAGTGGACTCATCAGGATTAGTCCTCACATGTAGGAGCTTATAAATCACCTAGAGGAAGAATGATGCAGCAAATGCAGTGTTGGCTTTTCCAGCAAATAGAAGAGAATGGCATGTGGCAGAATATGTTTATAACCTCCCACTGGCATCTTATTGGCATAACAAAGGTCAGCTTTACCCATCTTTCAAATGACTCATTGTGTTCCACTAATTAACTCTATCCCTGGAAGGGGGGGCGACAAAAGCAAGTCAAGAAAATGATGACTCATACTAATAATTGACATTTATAGAGGTTTAGATTTCAAAACATGTATCATGTTTATTTTTCAATTACACCTTAATCAATTTTGTGCAGTAACTAGTAGATTAAATGGCTGATATCGTTATCATGGCTTAATAGCTGAAGGATGCAATTTTGGAGATGAAGAAGCCATTTTTTCTGAGCTATGCACCTGGTACATGGCAACGGCTAGAACCAAAGCCCAGATTTCATAGAAAGAAACCTTCTTTTCCTCTTTAGCACCAGGCAACCTTTAAAAAAATATTGAGACACTTAAAGGCTGCAAAATGGTCTAGAGGGCTGTGAGTTTGTGAGGTAAAGAATTTGGAAAAAGACAGTATCAAAGATTGTTTTAAGGAGAGATATCTTAATTTGTACTAAAAATGGAACTATGGGATGTCTAAAAAAAAGAGATGGAAAGGATAGGTGTGGGTCATTTAATTCAATTGTACTTCAGACTGGAGAGCTGTCCTATGCTGGCATAAGGCCATCTACTGAAGGAAGGTTGGAAGTAGAACTCTAGTTTCATCATTTACTGAGTCTGTTAACAGCTAAATCAGTCAAGGGTCAGCAGGTCCAAATGTGTATACTGCCCTCTGTTGACCTTTCCTGCAGAGTTCAGGAACACCCACGTTTCTCATATGTCGATGTTTTTTGCTAATTTCAAGGGAAGTCTTTCACGAACCCTGTGTCAATCTTAGCACACTGTTGACCATCCCCAATTCCTGCCAATGATCAAGTTCTCATATTTCATTTCAGAAAAAAGTCTATAAGCACCAAAAGTGAGTAAATTAACCTAACCTTCATACAAAAGCACACATTCAAACAAGCAGATGTGTTTAAAATAATATTCCCATTTTTGTATATAGTGTGCCAAGATTAGTATTAGGAATTAGGGGTATAACAGAGAGGAAAACACACACATACACCATGTCTTCATGGAGATTATATTCTAACTAATGCAGTATATAGAAACATATGTGAGGTATTATTGGTATAGCTTCTAAATTTTATTCAGGGATAATCATGGAAGGTCTTCAGAAGCAGCAGTGGGCTGAAATTGAGAACTTCATTGGTAAGTTGGTAGAATTCTTCTCAAAGGAGAAATGGTAACTTGATAAATTGGTAATTCGTAAAATTCTCTGGGAAGGAAGGGGTGTGGGTAGAAATTCTTTAACACCATGGGAGGTTGCACATGCTTATTAACATAAATTGGGAGATGAGAAAACCCATGGGCAGAGTAAGTGAGAGTAAGAGAGAGAGTTAGGTAATCAGGAGAGGCTTGTAGGTATGGTGGCCAGAGGAGGGTTTGCATGTTTTCCAGTGTGGTTTTATGTTTTAATATGATATTTTAAGTAAATACAGGCATAAAAGGATTTCATAGAGACCAGAGACTCTCCAGTACAACATCTGTCCAGCAATAGAGAATGAACTGACCTGAGTCATCATGACAATGTTCTGTTTATTGGCCACTCTGCATTCTCAACTGAAAACTTAGATTTCAATTTGCGCACCTCTAAAAACAAAGGGTTTGAGTTGGAGATGTTGTTATCCTGTTTCATTTCCAATCCAGGAGAAAGCACCCCCATCTTACTAATGATCATGGTATTCATTCCAGCGGAGCATCCACCTGAGATTTGAAAATACTGCATGCAAGTGTGTTCCCCTGCTTCTCAGCCAAAGATCAAAGCACGGAGGAAAATTCTAGTAAAGATGAAAATATGGTTATAAAAATCACAAGTCTTATTGTTGGTTTTTGAAAATCTTTCCTTTGGAGTGTAGAAGAGAAAAGCTGAAGAAGAATTTGGTATGTAGGATTACAAGACTTGGTAGACATACCAGGAGAGCATGGTTCTGGTAGCAACATAGTAAAATCGTAGTGTGGCAATTTGAATGGTAGCCTGATCCTGAATGAGCACTTGGAGAGACTTCGAGGCTTGCTCGAAACACTTCAAGATTCCAAGGGAAATGTACTTTGGCTCTGAAGCTTCTCTCTTCTTCATTTACAGACTCACAATACCTAACTTGCAGGATGCAAAACTGCACAGATGCCAACAAAAATAAGCCTTTCCCGGGCTACATTGACCCTGACTCTCTGATTGTTCAGGATGATTATGTGTTTGTTCAGGTAAGAAAACCCTACTTCTGTTCATTTGCTGAAGGCATTTCTAGTCTCTGTCGTGTTACAGCCCTTTCTGCCTGCCTGCACACCCTCAAAGGGAAGAAAGAAATGGATCGGAAAGGGAGGACAAAAAGGACAAAGAGCAGGGAGAAGGTGGAAGAGGGTGGGGGCGAAGGAAAGAGAGGAGAGGAAGGTAGGAGGGAGGAGGGGGCTCACTGACTGTTTATTATGTCTGTAGGAATTTACCAACCTATCTAAAAAGTGCTGTGCTGACCCAGGAGTGATACTCATTTCCATTTATGTTTCCCCAAATAAACCCTGGTCATTAAGTGAACTGGGAAGCTATGTCCATTTCTTCTGATCAGGGAAATGGTCATCCCTTCAGCCCCCTCCTCAGTATTACTTTAAAATAAGAGAATGTGAAAGGGCAATTGAGGGTGGATAGAGTTGGAACTGGGCGGCAGCCAACTAAGAATGATCCCCTGGTATGGTCAGGAAGCACTGTGGTTCCCAGGGAAACATGGCATAGATCATTTCTTCTCCTAAGAACATGAAAGCATCATGAGTAGTAGCAAGAGATAGGCAGTAACCATGTACTGCCTCTTCAGCTCTTCAGGAAAAGTTCTGTGTTGTCAATTCATCTAAAAATCATGTTGTGTCTTTCCAGGGGAAGAATGGAAAAGGTAATTGCTAAATACACATACAAATATATGCATCACAGCTAATTAAGTGTATACATCATATAGTATTGTTATGATAAATCTTTCCACCAAAAGCCGCCGAGCCCCACTGCCACATGTGCGCTTTACGCCAGCCACCTGCCCGAGTTAGGGCCCAAATTAATGCACAGACACTTGTAATAGGTTCAAATGCTGCTTGGCCAAGGACTAGGATTCCTCATCTGTTAGCTCAGTCTTAATTATCATAAATCTATATATTTTATAAGACTTATCTTATAGAGGATGCCTTTTGCTGGCACCCTCTCTTGCCGGTGGCTCACATCCCGCCCCTGGAGGAAGCAAAGGGGAAAAGGGGACACTTCCTATTTCTCCTTGCTTAAATATGAGTTTTCTTGCTATGTCACTTCCTGTCTGGATCACCACTTATCTACTACATTTTCCAGAATCCTCTTTGACTCCTAGTCCTATCTAACTTGCTGTCTCATTGGCCAAACAAGTACATTATTCAATAATCAATAAGATGAACATACACAGTACATTCCCCATCATAGTATAAATGTATTTCTATAATATATAGTGGTATACACACATACTACAGTTGGGGTATGTTCTAGACACGAGTTTATTTGATGGTATCTAATCCTGTTCATTGAAAGAAAACTGCACAGCATCAGCCTTGGTAATTTTGAAATGTTTCACAAGTGATACACATTTCCATTTATGTGTTTCCCCAAATAAACCCTGGTCATTAAGCTATATCCATATCTTCTTATCAGGGAAATGGTCATCCCAGTTCATTTTTCTTGGAGAAGTATGTAATGACCACTCTGATAATTTCATGTGACATCCAAATAATTGCATGTGGTATTCCTGTCCCATTCATTTCTCTACTGTTAATGCTGTCAGGAAATCTTTCTCTGGCTCCTGGCAACAGTTTATAATGCACATATCTGACATAGAAATCAAAGCCAGAATTTATATTTAGAATTATATGAATAGCCTCCTGTAACCCATCGCTTCCACACACAACTCTGAAGAGTCTCTTTTTCAAATCACTCCGCTGTGTCTGATGATCATTTACCACAAGCCATGTTGACATTCCAAGTATGCAAACTCCAGTGACATTCAAACCGCAGATACTTACATAAGTCACAATTTGCTCTAAGGAGAAACACACTGTCAGAGGTGCCTTTTAGAGCAGCATTCAAGTCTGGATGGAAACAACACTTCTTCCTGTCCTGCAACCCCTTCAGGATCCATTGACCTGCTTTGGACAAAACAGTGCCAGTTGCCATGGTTTTCTTCCAAAATATGGAGACCTAGAATTAATTTGGAACTCAAACCTGAAGTGACTTTCTGCTAACAAGCTTTGACATACTCTTAGGTATCAGTGCAATGGCCTCAAACAGTAACTCTGTGTGGAGAGAAGGTTTCTTTCCAATGTTGAACCTGGGCTATTACCCTCCAGCCCAACATGGTCATTTGTAAGGCATGGACTTAAGGACTAGACTGCTGAAAGACAGTGAGTTAGTATCTCCTGAGGCTTCTAGCCTTGGGAAGAACATGGTATATATGATATATTTATATATGGGGTATATCTAGATACATGTATAGATTTACACACACACACACACACACACACACACACACACACACACTTGCTTTCGTGTGTCAGTGTTTTTCCTTCCCTGCTCTCACCTCTGTGCAACACATGCCTGAGAGGAAATCAGGTCCCTTCGAGGTGGAGTTGTAGATGGTTGGGAGCTGCACTGTGGGTACCACTGAGCATCTCTGGAAACCCACACTGCACATTTGCAGATTACATTTTTGTCTGTTAAATGCTGGGCTTCTGAGCACACCTCCACAGTGAGTAAGCTGCTTTTCTGGTGAATACCAGCCGTTGGTAGTTGTCCTTGCTAGGCATCTTTGATGCTGTGTGGCAGCTACCCACTTCATTCAGGAAGCTGTTCTATGTGACTGTTGCTCCTCTCACCACCTTGTGTCTGTGATCCAGCTGACATCCGGAGGAAGACCACACTACTACGTGTCCTACCGAAGAAGCACGTTTGCGCAAATGAAGCTCCCGAAGTACGCATTGCCCAAGGTACAGCACACTGGGCTGCAGTTTCCTCTGCTCTCCCCTCAGCTGCTCTCTGCCTCCACCACACTCTCAGGGCCATTGCCAGCCTCCACTAATGGGTCCCTTGCTTCATCAGCCCCGCTTCTGCAGCTAGACTTCCCAATTCCCCTGTGGTAATTCGGTCTCCCTTACTCTGTGGGTCCTTTCCCTATTCTCTTTACCTCTGATTTTTTTCTTCCTTTGGAATTCTTCCTGAATAGACATCTGGATAAATTAATCATACCCCTGTTTTTGCCTTTCAATATTAAATATTCCTGAACAGTGTGTTTTGCTTTTAATTGATCACAGAAAAAAAAAAAGTTAACTTTATGTTATAGCATGGCAGTTGTTCTCAGTGGGAGTTGGAAAACTGGTTATCTTCAGAGACCTAGGGAACAGCTGAGTGTTCTGCCTTCTCTATGTATTCCCTTTTGAAAACAGTGGAGAACAGTAGTGAGAGACCCTCATTCCTAGCATCCTCACACAAACTGAAAAGCTGTGTTAATATGTAGTGCCACCTAGTGGAAAACAGATGATGCAGCCTTTCAAAAAAACGACTATTAGTCTCATGGTTTCTGTGTTGAAATGACCCAAATGTTGTCTATTGTGGCTTAATTTTAGAGCCAATGAGATGTATATGTGTTGGGGGAGGGGGGAAGAAAGTGATTGCATTGAAATAAATAGAATTATAACTGAAATTTTGGAATTTTGTGGTGAACAAAGAGTATGATGAAATTTATTTTGAGCACAGTCTCGTCCTTTAGTGAAACGCAAGTGTGAGAGGAAGGCTGAGAATTGTTAAAATTGTCCATGATAGTCTCCTAGGAAGGGTCCAGAGGGAGACATAAATTCAGGGTGGGGGAAGGAGTACCCTCCCCCGGCTGAGTACTGAAATGAATTGTGTGTGATTCATTCACCAAAATGTGAAGAAGACAACTTGGAAGGTTTTTACATTTAAGAACCAGCTTTTGAGTTGATGCAGTGAGTTGCCCTGGTTCGAGATGCTTGCAAAACTGAGCCCAAATCAGGGGACAGCAAATTCCAATCTTCCATCACATGCTCGATCTTCAGGCAGCACGTTTTTAGCAGAATGATCACAGCCAAAACCGAATTCTATTTTCCACACAGGCAAGGTTAGAACCCAACTTTTCTGACATCCATGATAGCTATATTTTATGATTTTATTCCCTGGCAAGTCAATGAAGGACTCCCATTGCTATAACTTAGCATGTTCTCCAACCCACCCAATTTGTTGTGCTGTCAAAACATGGAGAAAGGGGAAAGCCCTCCTTGGTCCAGGGTCCCTAGAAATGGTAGTTTAAATCGGAGAGGCTTTGTGGCTAGGCTGCTGGAGACTGGGGGACAGGTATTGTACACTGCTTGTTCATAGTCATCTCAAAGATCAGTGTTGGCAGCTCCCAGAAGGGGCCTCTAGACAATCTAGAAGGCAAAGTTTCCTTTGGAGCTCAACAGGCCACACATGCACCTGCCACCCAGATGATCCTGTGCTCGGACTTAGCTCCATCCGAGTTCTCAGGGTAGAATGCAGTGATTAATTTGGCTCGTTACTTCAGAAATGGAAACTCCTGTAACAAACAAGGGATTATTTGGTCCAGGTGGGTGTTTATTATGTAAAGCAAAGAGAAGCTTCATTATAATCCCATTATAGCTTCAAAGAGAAGCCCCAGCGTGGGTGGAGTGTTCTGCTGCTGTGAAGGTGCTGTGTTACATGGCCTTCTGTCAGAACCAGGGCTGCACCTGCAGGTCAGCAAAGCTTGGTGCTGACCCAAGGAATGGAGACACATCAGCTCTCTCCTGTTCAAATATCGTTAGTCACCTACTGACATTGTATCAGATGTTCAAAGATCAGAATGTTGCCTTGGGCAGTGTGTAAACAATTAATAATAGTGAAGGAAAACTTAACAAAAAGTGATAGTTAAACGTTGTCATTGCAAGTAAGAGTACATGGCCTGTTAGAGCGACACAGTGATGGTTCTTCCTTCCCCTCACTTGGAGCCTATTCTTAGCAACTCCAGTGAGATAGATGAGGCAATACATAGAAAAGTGCCTCAAGTGTTTTGGAGGACAGATACTCTATAAAAGCAAGGTAATATTATTATTAGTATGGATCTAGTTGTCTTCCTACTGGAAGATAGATGGGTACCAGGTTGCAGGGGGGTTACAAAGGATGCTCAGTTTATAACAGGAGACCTGACTTCAGACCTGGATCCATCACTAACCTGCTTAGAAAATTCAGCTATCTGGGGTTTATTACTTTTGCTTTTATTCATTTTTTAAAAAATAAAGAGCTTAGATTCAAAACAATATTTACCCCAATTTGTCACTCAGAAAAAATGTCCTTAGGGATATATTGGAAAAATTTGGTTCTGTAGCCAAATAAGTTTAAAAAGAAAGTAAACTTAAATCCATGTGCCTCCCTTAGAGACTAGCAGGAGGTCACATTCAAGGGTCCATGAAAGTCCTATGAGCAACAAACTCTCTATTTCAGCATTAATTCAATAGTTTCCCCCATACATGGTGGAAGAAACCAATAATAACCCCAGCCTCTAGAAGCTAGAGGCAGTGTTATCAGTAATTTGAGTCCAGGAGCTGGAGAGATGGCTCAGTAGTTAAGAGTTTCTGCTGCTCTTCCAGAGGACCTGAGCTGGGTTCCCAGCACTTGTATCAAGTTACCTTATGACCATCTCTAGCCCTTGCTCCATGGTATCTGAGCCCTCTTGTGGCCTCAAAGGGTTCCCACATGTGTGCACAGTATATACTGATAAAGATGCACATATCCATATACATAAGTAAAATAAAAATTGACCTAAAAAAGAAAAACTGTTTGAGGCCAGCTTAGGTGATATAGTTATTTCAAGGCTATCTTGGTTATAGAGCTGACTGTGTAGCATGATTTTATTTTATAATCAAACTAACAGACCCAGATGAATAAACCACCACCACTAATAAGAGCTAAAGGTTCTGACAAAGATGCTTCCACCCCCATTGAAAAATATATTAAAATCCAACAATGTTAGTATCCTAGGCATTGCAAGGTGTTCCAGTAGAACTCCAAATAAGAGTCTGAATAGTTCTAGAACCATGGGAATCAGTAAAACAGTAAGAACACATTTTCTTAATAAGGGGTTGATGAAAGGTGAAATAAATTAGAAATGCATCAAATCTTTATGACCAGCATCATTATTTAAAATCTCTTTAGTGAAATTACATAAAGGTAAAAAGGAGGTTGGTTTGCAACTTATAAACATGGTCATTTTACCCTGTTAGCATTATATGACAAGTTCTCTAAATGACCCTGCTCAAGCCATTTAAACGAGCTGTATTTTCAATACAGCATCAGTTACTTGTCCTGTTTCTGTGATAACATATGCTGACAAAAGCAACTGAAGAGAAAAAGGGCTTTATCTTGGCTCACAGTTCAAGGGTACTCAGGGTTAGGATCCTTGCAGCAGGGGCTTGAAGCAGCTCATCCTGTTGCATCTGCTTAAAGGAAGCAGAGGGAGAGGAATGTCTGGGCTCTCCTACCTTGCCTATGTGTATTCAGTCCAGGACAGAGCCCTTAGTTCTAGTCCCATTCAGGGTGGGTCTTCCCAAGTCATTTAACCCAACCTGGAGAATTAAGGTATTCCCAGAGCCTTGTCTCCAGTGTAATTCTTGTCAAGCTGACAATTAATGTTAGCTATTATCTACAAGTATCAAATCTACACAATGGATTATGAAGTATGATACTGTAGAAGTATGATGATAGTCTCCCAAGATTATGTTCTCAAATCTGTTGTGTGCATCCATCAAAAGTTCACTGTTGCAGAAATTCACACCGAAGCCCAGGGGTGGGAATTGACTGTGCTAGGCTCAGCTTTCATTTGAAACAACAGAAACCAAGGATTATAACATACTTGAGGGAAGGAAACATAAACAGGAGGTAAGTGTTTAACAATTTTAAAGATTTTGGTTTCTATCCTATTATGAGTTAGGACACATGGGAGGTTTTTTCACGTGGATGAACCAGTGAATTTTAGGGTAATTTCCTTCATCAGACAAAAAACATTTGGATGAACATTTTCTTGAGTATACTGCTGAGTGAATATTCAAATATTTAAAATGCAGAGATGCCAAGTCGATCTTTTGTAATCAGCATAAGGGATAGACAGGCTCCCTTAAGTGAAACACTCACTGTGTATGAAACATACCTTAAGTGGTGAACATTATTATGGTATTTAAGACTTGCTAGTTTTATCTCCACTGCCCAGTGAAAGATATGTTCTTGTTATCTTGAGGTCACAGATAGAACACCTGAGCATGAAGTTCCCTTCAGGTGACTATGTCACAAGCCCAGACCGAACTCAGGTTATGAGAACTTGAGGACAGAACTGTGACTCAAGCTACACTGAATGATTTGGGTTGGGAGCATTACCAGGGAAGATCTTAAGTGTCAGTTTGGGTAAATTTGAGTTTTGCATTACACAAAAGCCAAGGGCATTTCTATCTTATTCTTTTGCCATGTATTTATGAGCTCCTCTGTTTATTTTGGGCCGTCTTATTTCTTAACAGCTTTACCCTGAGTTACTTGGAATTTATTCTCTGTAGACTCCTTTGGCCACAGAATTTAAAAGCAGCCCAACAGGCTTCCCTGAAGGAAACATTGATTTTGGCTGGTGACAGCCAGTTTAGAATAGGGGTAGACAGTGGCAAGAGTCCAGAATGGGGAATGAAGGATTTGGAATTCTTGTCAGAGGATAGAGGACAAGGCCTCCATGTGTTGGTCACTTTGTTTCTACATTTGGTAACCTTGGAGTTTGGGAGCATCACCCTTAATGATGGCTCCTTCATCTCTTGTAGTTTTCTTAGAGAACTTAGCAGAGGAAAATATTGGATTAGTAGCCAATCCTTAAATTAATTACTCATACAAACATTAATGCTTTGGGATTTTTCTGGTGGAAACTTTGTTTCCCTTGGGGAATTTCAGGGTGTTGCTGAAACTTGGTAGTGCTTGTCAAACTTTAATGTGCATATTACTCATAGAGGGACCTCAGTGATTCAGTGAGTAGGGTCTGAGGTTCTTTCTATTTGTCTAGGAGTTTGTCAGCAGTACCAGTGCTGCTAGTCTGCAGACCACAGGCAAATCCAGGGCTTGTCTGGCTTCTTTATCTGCAGAGTCAGATCCACCTGCCTCTGCCTCCCAAGTGCTGGGATTAAAGGTGTGCTCCACCAATGCCCGGCTCAAGATTGTTTTACGTGTCAATCCCAGTTCCCTTTCCCTCCCCTCCACCCCTACCACCCCCCAACTAACACCCTACCTATCAACCCTAACCTATCAAGGACTGAAGATTGTCCTTATGTTTGCCTTCTGTAAGTCTTCTGAGCTACAAGTGCTTGAACTTGACAATTCATAAAATGACTGGTTCTCCAAATCCATACATATTCAAGAACACTGACATCAAGTTGTCTAATAAAGCAACCAAATTACATTTAGATGTTTATACATCCTTCTATCTCATTTTGTCATGGCTGCAATTTTTCACCCCAAGATGACCGAGAAAATTAACACTTACCTATCTCGTTCATATGTGTGAAAGGAAGCCTTTGCTGTCTCTCCCTGTGCATTTCACAGAGCTCTTCATTGTCCACTTTCTCTGAATGCATGCCAGGCTAATGCATAAAACCCTTCTTCCCTCTTCACTTCCTTGTGTTTTTCTTCAGGACATGCATGTCATCAGCACAGATGAGAACCAAGTGTTTGCAGCAGTTCAAGAATGGAACCAGAATGACACATACAACCTTTACATCTCAGACACCCGTGGTGTCTACTTCACCCTGGCCTTGGAGAATGTGCAGAGTAGCAGAGGCCCCGAAGGCAATGTCATGATCGACCTCTATGAGGTATGTCACCAAGCATATGTGGTTCTGGAGGACAGCAGCACAATGACTAACTGGTGAAATATGTGTCACTTGATCTTTCTAATGCTGATCCTTGGACAAGGTCCCTCCACCTGAGAGAAGGAAAGACTTCTTGTTGTTTAGTTTTCAACCCGTAGGATTTTTTTTTCAATTTTTTATTTGAATTAGAAACAAGTATTTTTTTCAAGACAGGGTTTCTCTGTGGCTTTCAAGGCTGTCCTGGAACTAGCTCTTGTAGACCAGGCTGGTCTCGAACCCACAGAGATCCGCCTGCCTCTGCCTCCCAAGTGCTGGGATTAAAGGTGTGCTCCACCAACGCCCAGCTCAAGATTGTTTTACATGTCAATACCAGTTCCCTTTCCCTCCCCTCCACCCCTACCACCCCCCCAACTAACACCCTACCTATCAACCTATCCCATACTCTCTCTGCTCCCCAGGCAGGGTGAGGCCTTCCATGGGGGGGTGGTCTTTGATTCTGTTGGAATCAGCAGCTCCAGAGAATCTGGAAAGTGTCTGGGTAGGAAATCCCACAATTGCATAATATTGGTCTACATACCATAGAATATTTTATATATGATATGATATTTCAATACAATTTTGAATAGCTGACAGGGTTTTGTATGATGAATCAGTGGGCAGTACTCTCTTATCTGACTCTGAAGTGACATGGATGGGACATCTTTGTATGCTATGAGAATGCATCCTGTTGGCCTTGAAAGACATCCCCAACTTGATAACCTCAGATGGCTAGTGTCCCACCTCCCAATGCCCAATGCATGAGATAATTTTCATGAGATTTTTTTTTAAACCAAATCCTGGAAAACTAAATGAACAGAAAAGCACAGCAAACCAGAGCTTACCCAACTTCCCTTGGGGGCACTGTGGCTCTTTGCTTTTCTAATAACCAATATTCCAAGTAAAATCATCTAAGTTGGATCAATAAGTTATAATGAAATCAGTACCAAAGGTTCCATTATCTATTATCTATCACTGGTATGAACTGCAGTGGTATTACTCTGGGTACAAAGATGTCTACTTTATAGAAATGTAAGAGATTTGTCACTGGATTAATATATTTCCTATAGAATATAGTATATTACTTGGTTTCTTTAGCAAACAGACTTACTATTCTCACACTTTCCTCCCAAGGCTCAGTGCTTGTCACTGAGGAGGTGACAAGAAGAAAAAAGTTTAAGCAGCAGTGGATGATTATAGGTAAACAGTGTTTTCTGGACATGGCAGGAGAGTTGTTCGCAGGAACTCACAGTGGATGTTTACTGCATGCATGAGACATCCATAATATCAAGCCAGAGAAAATCTTAGCATGGATAAGGGAAGGGCCTGCAGAGTCCCACTGTTTGCTGAGGAGCTACTAGAAACTGATGGCTGCAGGAGGAGTATGAAGAATTAGTCTTCTTCAGGGCTGAATTGTCTTCAAAGGCACACTAGATAGAAAACAAGCTACACTTTGGGGATGAATTACATTTTCTGGTCAGTCTGGATGTATGATGATGAATTCAGAATGGGTTAGAATTAGGTATTAAATGACATATTCAGGGTTAGAGAAATGTAGTAACAGACCTATACTCTATCTGGAAAAAAAGTCTGAATGGATTCAGACATATGCGTTCATAAAGAAGTTGCCATTTTGTTGAGATCAGGGATTCACAAGAAGCATCAGTGTTACATCCAGTGAAAAAATAAGCCAACTTCACTTAAGAAACTCAAGCCCAAATGTGCAAACTTTTAATTTGTTCTATAGAGGGTTTAGTAGCTAAACCTCTTTTTGTGTGAATAAAACCAAGTTCACAGACTGACATGTGCCACAAATAAAAAAATAAGATGACCAGCATGCTTAATTCAGAATTTGACAGACTAGTATAGGATCTATATGTAATATAATATATGTATCTTGATATAGGTAGGTTATATACTTAAGAAAGCATACTCTAGACCTTTTTATCCCACTTTTCTTCTCATTTCAGCTAGATATAGTGTCTATATCTCAACCACCAATTGAATACTTATTCTGGAAAACATTTATATAGTTTCAAGATATAGTGTCAAGAATGTTCTAGATAAAATTTGATTTATATTATATCATTTTAAAAATCCAGGCTTTCTGAGTTTGAATTCTAATTGTACTGCTATTTCTGTTGAAATGTATGCTCAAGACAAGTGCAGAGCTTCTGAGCCTATACTTGTCTTGTTGAGAATATAGAGATGAACACAGTACCCAGTAGATTGCTCTGAGGATGAAGTCAGTCCTTGTTCACTACTACCTTAATGCTTGACATACAATGTGTATAAGAAAATATAGAATTATTATTATAATTTCACAGTGTGCCTAGGTAACACTTGGCATTCTATCCTGATGCTCTTAAAACATATCCACATTTTTAAATGTGCAGCACATTTCCATCACTGGGGCTTTCTGCTTCTTTCCATATTGCAGTTAGCAGTGACATCTGACAGTCCTGACCCTGGGCATTTGTCTTACAAATAGTATAAATTTCAGCACTCCTTTCCTCATTTGGAAATGTCTATGAACATTTAAACTTGAAGTATGTTCTGATGAAATGGTCTATAATCTCTTGCCTTGAGCCAGTCATACCATTGATGCATCTATGAGGATATAGCCCATGTAAAGTCACAGGGTCTGTGCCACCTTCATGATCCAGTTTAGTTTCTTAAGTCTAGTTCTGTCCTTTGCCTCCCAACCCAGCCTTAATACATGGGAGGTGCTTAGTCTTACTGCAACTTGATATGTCATGTTTTGTTGATTCTCATGGGAGATATGCCCTTTCCTAAACAGAAATGGAGGGGGAGGAGATTGTGATGGGAACAGAGGGGGTGGGGTGGGGAGAGACTGGGAGGAGAAGAAGGAAGAGAAACTGATAATGCGATGGGAAATAAATACATTGATTTAAAAATTAAAAGAGAGGAAAAAGTAGATAAAAACAAAAACAAAACAAAACAAAAATTGAAGAATGCATACCCATTAGTCCAGGAAAATTAGCTGAGTCACTCCAGGGTGTCCTGCAGGGTATTTTCAGCCATATTTTGCCAGAGCAGTAAGTAAATATTGCTAATATCAAACATGTTTTGATTTATACAAATCAATAAACATCTCTGGAACCCCAAAACCAAAGAACACTTTCAGTTTTTTTTCTTCTTCCTGATTACCCCTTGTCCCTTCAATTTAAATGGGTTCTATCCAAATCAGTTCAAAAATGGGTGCTCAAGAGATTAATTTATTTTCTGTCGGAAATGAAGACCGTGTTCCAATATTGGTCTCTTGATGATGGGACAGGTGAATAAATTGGGCAGGAGTGACGTGGTAATGAACTGCTTGCAACCTTTTATTTTCTTTGTTTTATGAATGGCTCTATGAACTCAAACATTGCATCAGGTATGGGATGAGTAGTAGCAGCAGCCACAAGCATTCCTTGTTAATCCTACATTTGCCCTTCGTGTCTCTTGCTGTTGACTATCTGTAGGGGAAAGTGCTGGCTCTTATTAGCATCACTTTGAGCATCAGTGTGACTGCATTATGTAAAGGTGTTCTGCATCCTGGGGCGGGGAGAGAAGTGTCTTTTTGCTTTATTATCTTGACAGTTCAGAGAAACGTGAATTGAAATTGATGTGAGCAGAACAGCAGTGGCGTATCTGCTGATTACCTAGATAGAAAGAATATTGGCAGACACAAGGCCTGGCATGCATGTCCCCTTCAATCTGATTGTTCTGGCTAGCAGGAAGCTGAAATTCATCCAGCTCGAATTTCCCCATAGAATTGCAATGAAGGATGAGCGCTTAGAGATAAGTGAAAAGCAAGAGAATCCCTAAACGAATTGATAAGTAGCAAAGATGTTCATCATACGAGGTGGGTGTGACAGAGGTAGGATCCATGGGGGGTGGGTGTCTGCTCACATTGGGGTGATGGAGGAGAATGCCATTCCTTTGTACACTTCTGATACCAGTTACCTGCTATTCCTGCATGTGTGTACTCATGAAGCCATTTTAGCAAATGAAACCCATGCGGATTAAAAGTGTATGGGTGGGACTGTATGTCAAGTATACACACGGGGAGCTTTATGGAAAACAAAGACTAGGTTCCTGTTAAATTCAACCATTTCTTTCATCACGTTGCCACCTGGGTGCAAGTGCTGTGCTTTCAATTCTATCACTATGCGTGTGCATGTAATGAGATATGAAAGTGATGAAAGCCAAGAATTAGAGACAGAGTACTGTGGCTTAGTTAATGAAAAGCCCGAATTTTCTCATAGTGTGAGTTATCTATTTACATTCTCTCTGTTCAAGGAGGTGAAGAAATGTGGGCCAGGAAATTTGGTCATAAGCCAAACATCCCAGAAATTCATTTTAAGACAAAATTTAGTGGTAACTGTTGATATTTGAGGTATCGTAAACAAAGCGATATATAAACAACTTTCCATAATTCTTTGATTTGGCCCATAAATGAACTTTTGGGTGCCTACAGTCACTCTCTGCTTGTTAAGTAAATAGGGGAGAGTGCACAGGCATTTCACAGGTTACAGAGCAAACTTAGGACTTTTATCTAAGGGTTTGTGGATTTTCAACTTCACTGTACCATGTCTCCCTTGAAGAGTCCCTATCTTGTGTTTGATTGTGAATGTTCAATAGTGTAAAGATTGAAGCATAAGTTAAGTTTGTAGAAAGAGTCTTAGTCTTCCTAGATGTGGGAAAAAATCAGACAACAATAAGAAAGCAGTGATGAAAAGTCAATTGCTTCAGACCAGTGTCTAGATTTTTAGAACCAAGTCCAAAGTTACATACGAATCCAGACAATAATTACATATAGCTGCCAACTTTATCTTGTAGATGGAAGCATAGATGTATGGAAATCACTGAAGCAAATGTTCTAAAATTCCATTATTCCCACAAAACATGAACGCTTCAGTGACCATGTGGGTTGAGTAACACAAGAGAACATGTTTCTTTGT